CTCTCAAACTACCGAAACCATGCAGCCCACTACCCCAAAGATCATTTGGGATGAATATGATGACGAGGACTATAATCCCATTTGGGATGAAGAACTTGTCAAAGAGAATGAAGAAGTGTTTGAAGACGCAGAGGATAACCCGTTTTGGGTTACAGAGATGAAAGAAGAAGAGCAAGACGAGAAGACCCACGAGGAAGTCGTCACAACCTCCGCTGGAGACCTATCTTCGTTAACGGTACCTTGTACCAAACGTGTTGAGTTTGTTGAGTTTTTGCAGGTCCCGTATAAAGGGAGGATTGAGAAGAGTCGTGACTCGAAATGGTCCATTCAGCCCGGCGACCTAGTATGGGTTCACATTCATAAGGCGCGTTTATTTAATAAACCCAAGTCAAAGCTACAACCCCGAGACGATGGCCCGTTTGAAGTGTTGACAAAGGTTCACAAAAACTCCTACGCGGTTGATCATACAAGAGGCCTAAAAATTACTGCCACGTTCCATCGAAGAAATCTTACCCCGTACGAGGATTTTATTGATCTTTCGAGTTTGAGGACAAACTCTTTTTAAGACCAGGAGGATGTTATACCCGGGCCTGGCCCTATCATACCCTCCCCCATGTCCTACACCCTTGCAAAAACCAAAGGACTTACGTTCAAACATTATGATCCATTTTAGTGACAATTCCACGTCCTTCAACCCGAGAGGCCTGAATAACTTCGGACCCAAGGTTTCAGCAAACCAAATCCCACTCCGTCCAACCCAACCCTAAGCATCCAAAACTCCTTGCCATTTAATTCATTTCAAAAGAAAGCTTTTCCTACTCTTATTTTAGCCCTGGCAGAAAATAAGAGTGTGTAAAATAAAACCTTTTGTTTGTTGTTGTTTTTCTTCTTTTAAGCCTTTTATTAAACAAATAAAACCCCCCCCTTTATTCCATTCATCCCCTGGAGGCCTGGACAAAATACACTTCACAACCCCAACACAACACCCAAAAAGAGCCAAAATCCTGACCCACCACAAACCACTAATCCCTGCCCATGTTCCCCCACAAATAACCCAAACCCATAGGTCCAAAACCACCCCTAATATTGCCCAGCCCTGTCCCCTTTTATTGGCCAAACAC